TTTTTCTAATTCTGGAAGAGCAGATTTTAAGTGTCCTTACCACCAAGGGCAGACCGGCAAACAACACAAACGAATTATATAAGCAAAATTGCTTACCTATTCGGTGGCCACCGTGTTTGTGTTGCTCGTCCCAGTCAGCCCAAAGTGGTCGTCCACTCTTCTGCTCTTTTCCGTCCCATCTGGGTCGCCAATTTGTAGTGTCTTCAGCAGCTGCTCTGAGGAACCACACTCAGTCTTGGGTTTTTGATGCCAGAAGATACACACTTTATTACATCATCAAGAATAAAGTGGAGATGTTCTCTGCAGAAAACATCTCCAGAATGTCTTTCTGTCTCCCCTTTTATACAGGTTGGATTTTAAGGCGTGGGGTATATATTCCATACAGTTTATACAAAGAAAGCCCCCACTTATGTTTTTTCCAGATGTTTCTCATCTGAGGTCTGTACTTTCTGCCACGTAGGCATGTTTTTACACACAGGCATATGGGATTATAATGGAAGTATAACTGGATATATTTATGGCTAGATTCGTCTTGATTATGCTTGATTAATTCATACTTTGATTAATAAAAATCTTCGACAATAGATGAGAGGAAACAGACAGACAGACACTCAAATACTTAATACTTTTTTCACTACACGTTAGAGTTAAAGAACGTACTGTCTAGCCACATGAAGTGGGCCTCTTCTTTCTTCTTTGAATCACTGACAATGTCCCTAAAAAGCTTGCACGTGAGAGAAAGTCTCATAAAGGCCATGTCTCCGTCGTCTGAGACCACTCTCAACAGGATCTGCCCGAGGATCTCCAGTGGCATCTGTCCAAAATAACCAACAGTCAGTCTAAAATGTGACTGTAGATAAGACATATTAAAAAAGGAAACTGATAGATATACAGTATTTTATACTGTGCTTACCTTGGTCAAGTAATCAACAGGTGGGGGGGCTTCCATTGCCTCTAAATTGGAGAGTAGCATCAATGTCAAAACCCTGTTAATTGTGCTGTACAAGAATTAAAGTAGAACCCATACCTGCTCTTTCTAGTCTCCTCTTTTTTCTGAGTTGTTTTCGTTCCGCGTCTGGACCTTCAAATGTTTAAAATATAAAGAGCTTATGAAGAGAGTTTGATCTTAATGACATCCCCGGAAGAAGATTTGAAATTCACAGGTTTAGACGGATATATGTAATGAAATTATTTGCACTTTATAGTTCAAACTTACGGTAGCGCATTGCTGCCAGAAACATTTATTTTGTCCACTCGATTATGTTGTATAAACGACATCTTTTCTCGTAATAACGAGTTGTTGTTAAAATGACAATTATCTTATTAAAACGACATATAAAAACAACATATTATATCATAAAACAACATAACATGTGGCAGCAATATGCGCCATCATAAAACCACTTCTTTGTACTATTTAATTGAAACTGTTAAATTGATGTTTACAGATAAGTTGGCAACATTTCACATACAGTACAACTTGATCTGACTTACTTCAATGGATAATTACTCCGCAGAAGCATACACCACCACCTTCTAATTGTTGGCATGTCATACTGTAAAATAGAGCACTGATGAGCTAATGGTAACTAAGGATCTCTAAATAAATGACTTTGGAATTTAAGACTTACTTCGTTGAAATCAAAATACCCCTCCAATACCACGTAGAGTGCATACTACAATACGAATTAAAGCTCATTTTAGCAGACACTGTAGAATCATATACCAAAATGTTTGTTTTCTATTCAATAATACCAATAAACAAAACATCAAATGCAAATTATTTCAGATGTAGGACATTTATAATACTTTCTGGTGTGACTTAGGTTACAACACTGCATGGCTTACGATCAACACAAACACTCCGCGGTTATTTGAATTGTGTTGTCTGGGAATGCCCTGAAAATTACAACAAGAAAAAAAAAAAAAAAAATTTATATATATATATATAAAGAAATTCAAACATAACAAGCTGGCAAGCCTTAGTATAATTGGTGCTTACTGTACTGTCATCACAGCTGTACTCCCTCCATGGCCCAGGAATGGCACGTTTTGCTAGTTGCCTGTTAAGAGTAATATCATATAAGTGTAAGTAATTTAAAAGAGTAAGTAAGCAGAAGTATAAAATACATTTTGAAAACACACGAAAAGAAAGCTAAATCTGAATTCATTCATTAAGTAAAAAAAAAAAAAAGCAAACAAAAATGGGGATATATGGTTTAAAACAGAACTACCATAACCCCGAACTCATGAACTTTGAACATTTCACTCGTAAGACCTGTAACTGTTCATGAAACGGCAATCACTGAAGCCACGTCCGGAAAGGGAATCAAGCCAATAGATCTCTCTATTTCTTGGCTTCATGATCTAAAACAATGTAACTTTGACATCAACTGTCAAGTGCTAGCACTTTCTTTTACATTTGTAAGGTATGAAATACCCAAGCAGACATTTAAACATTTCTATTTTTTTGGCTTCATGATCTAAAACCATGTAACTTTGACATCAACTGTCAAGTGCTAGCACTTTCCTTTACATTTGTAAGGTATGAAATACCCAAACAGAACATTTCAACATTTTCTGATTATTTGATCATTAAAGATAATTATTTTGAGACCTACACAGATCTTCCAATGATTTTCTGACCAGGAGGGCAGTAGAATTATGTCATGACTTGCTAGATTTTCCTAAGAAAAAAAGTAAATATGAAATCAACTTAGACATTTATAAATAGATAAATTATTTAGAATATAAATATTTTTAAAATGGCTTCATACTGCCTCAGTCACAAAACAATGATACTCACAGGAACATTGCACACTGGGTCTGCTCACAAGGGTGGCAACCAAGTCACTGTCACATATGAATTAAAGACATGGACCATTATGCCCTGTTAAGTAAAAGTGCAACAATTAAATAAGGAACCACATTCCCATTTTTTCCACACATCGTGCATACAGAATATTTGAACAAGGGAATTCTTTGCATTACCTGAAGGTCAGCAATATCCTTCACAACAGAAAGACAGGCATTCAAAATCTGTTAACATTCAAAGAAATGCATTTACAATCTGTGAAAATTTAAGGACATAAAAGGGCACATAGTACTATACTGTACTGCATGGGTTAAAGGGTACAAATATATTATTTTTGCTGCATCTCACTGTTGCTTCTACATCACGTTGGTGCCCTAAAGTAAGGAAATCCATCCTGGTGAGGACTGTAGCTCCAACAGATGCCAAAAATTCATCGGCTGCTCCTGTCTCCATTAAGGCATGGTTTAGCTATGAAAATAACAGCAAAGTACTACAATGTGTCTTTTTTTGTTAGTCTTAAAACAATAAAAAAAAAAACTAACAGTAATTTAAAAAACAAAACAAAACAAACAAAAAACACATTACCTGATTACCTGTTTTCAGCATGCCTTGTTCGGTTGCACATCCTGTAGAGCAGTAATACCCACCATGGAAGACTCAGAAGGGACTGAGGAGTACATAAAAATGTAAGTAAACTGATTAAAAAAAACATCCAGTTTAACGTCACATTACATATTTTAAAAAATTAATATGCGTACATTGGTCATGTTTTCGGTTTTTGTCTCCTGAGGGTCTGTCATCAATTTGAATGGATTCTGAAGGTGTGCCTTTAGATGGAATAAAATGTGATGCATTATATGTCTAGTAATGCTCTCACAATAACCAAAAACATCCAGTTTAACATCACATTACAGAAGCTGAAGGCAGAGGTGTATTACCAATCAGAACCATGGGTGTTGCAGTTCTTTGTGGAGATGGAATCTTTTGCTTCTTTTGTTTGCATTTTGTGAGATGAATGTTAAAGTGTGCTTTTTGTATAATAGTGGCAGAACAGTTGCAGCAATGAAAATGAGAAACATCTCTGCATTTTAAGTTGCACCTGATGATAATAAAATCTGAAATGTAAAAAAACTGTAACACGCAAATACACACAATAAATATGGATGTTCAAACACTACATACCTTCTTCATGAACAGCTGTTTTCAGATGATCATCCACATGTTTCTTGACACTGTACAAGTCCACTGGTTTGTAGACCCAGGTTTCACAAAATGGGCAGTGATATTTATCACAGCATGAGATGCATTGTTCTATTTTTATGTTTTCTCCTTTTCTGAGGACAGTAGCATGCATCTAAACAAAAGCACATTTACAGTCAAGTAAAGGTTTCTATATCTCACATTTAAAGGATTTCTGCCAGTCACATGAAGGTAAATTTAAGAGGTAACACTTTACAATAAGGTGTCAATGGTTAATATTAGTTAATGTATTAATTAACATGAACTAACAATGAGCAATACATTTGTTACAGTATCTATTAATATTTGGTAATGTTAGTATATTAATGAAAAAGATGACAAATATGAGAAAAAAAATTTGCAATGCATGCAACAATCAGTGTCATTAGCCTACTTTATTAATATGTCTTTCTGCTCTATTTTAAGACATCTCTAAAGGCTCATTTTAGGCAAAATAAGACTTTTAAAGACCCTTTAAAGACCAGCAGCAGAATCCCTGTCACTTCGAATACTAACACATATCATAAAACATGTCATAAATGTCTGAAATCGCACACATTTGCAATCTATGATTATGACCAAAGCATCCTTGCAGTTAAAGGCCGTTAACACAAACACACATTGTTTTTAAGAAAACGTAAGTAAGTTAATGTTCTTTGACTTACTGCCACCGAATCTCGAATCCACCATACATCCGGAAGTGAATGAACCTGTACATGCGCAGTAACGCCAGTACGTACAGCGCGCATGCGTGTTATAGACATACCTTATGTCACTTTGCGCATGCCATAATAGTCATATACACCGATCAGGCATAACATTATGATCACCTTCCTAATATTGTGTTGGTCCCCCTTTTGCTGCCAAATCAGCCCTGACCCGTCGAGGCATGGACTACACTAGACCCTGAAGGTGTGCTGTGGTATCTGGCACCAAGATGTTAGCAGCAGATCCTTTAAAGGGGTCCTATTATGCTCTTTTACAAAGTCTTGATTTTGTTTTGGGGGTGTACTAGAACGGTCGCCGTGATTTTGCCAAGTAAGACATGTTCCTAGATCAACATCTTTTGATGATCCTGGATCAACACTATTGTCCAAAAAAATAGACTTAAAGGCAGGGTATGTGATTTTTCAAAAACACTTTAGAAAACTGATTCGGGCCGAACAGCAAAAGTTTGCTGGGCCAGTGTGGGTTGTGATTGGTTAGCTGGGCCAATTTGTGTTGTGATTGGCTCCACTCGGCTCCTGGTCAGGAAATGTCATGCCCCTTACCATACCGTGCGAGCTTCAGTGTAAATATTGCGTCAAAATCAAATCAATTTGAGAGCGATTTAAACCCGGATGATTGT